TGGAGTAACAGCCAACCCCGTCGTGATTGGTCCGTTTTTTAACGGAGATCCCGTGGCATGGTACAATACCCAACCAGCCTGTGTGTCGGTTAGGCAATGCCTGGCTACACGATAGTCTATCAGTCGACTTCATGCTGTGCCCGCTTGAAACCTCGTCGGCAATACCCGGTGTATTATGATTCTTCTCAAGATCGGATCGTTTGACGCAGGAGTCGATCCGCGCCACGGCACATTAAAGAATATCCCCCGTTCAGTATCTGGTCCAGTTCGCTTCGGTTCGGTCTAGAGTTCACGTGCAAGTCGAGTTTTCGCATTTTATCTATAACGTTGAACATCCCCGTCGGAAGTTCTTGGCTTTGATGACAACAACAGCGACGACGACAACGACGACGACGATGATGATGATCTAAGATTATCCGCGCGATAGTCCACGTGCAGCGCCGGTGAACAACGTATATCTCGAGGCGCTGAGGATTAGCACCTGCACTCCTTCGAAGTTAACCAGTTGACAACAAACAGGTTGTTCGCGCAGAAGACATCCTGTTTCACCGTCGTCGAAGAAAAACAGACTCATGAAAGATGACCCCGGATCCGCAGAAACAATGTGTCATGTGGAGAGAGACGAGTATCAGTTAATAGCCTGCCGTTGATAAGAGAATAGTTCAGTGACTGAGAAAAGTACTGTATTGCGTAAAAGATTGTGGTTTTTTATATTATTATTGTGAGAGAACGCACGCAACGTTTTGGATTATATATACACTTCCCGGATTTTCCTCAGCTCCGGATTGGGATCTAGCTCTTTGCACAAAGGTAAAACCGCATGTAAGAAAATCCACGTTTGCACACACGATATCGCGTATGTGTGTGTGTGCGCGCGCGCGTTTGCGGTGATGTAGAGAACGCCGCGGACTCGAAGAATTGCATAACGCAAACACGTGTAGTCGCTTTAACGGCAATTTGTCTTAATTGCCGCGATTTGACACGAACATGCGACGTGCCATTGACAATACTTAATACACGATATAGAGTTTAGGTTTACAATCTCGTTACAATCGTCTTATTACTTCCCGTCGATTACTTCTCATGCGTTTTTCTTGCGTCACGCTTCTTTTGACTTTCCGCTTTTAAACGTTTTATTCAACAGAGAAATTTAACGTGTTTTGCGTTGCAAAGTTATAGATTTTTACAAATTGCAAATCGTTTCGTAATAATTAATGGATTACCTTTGCCGTGTGTGTAAAAGTTGTCGCTAAACACTTTGAGTTCCTAACAAACTGTCGTTGCGTTTGTTACACGCGACAGTTTAATCCGTGTTTACATTGTTCAATACCAAGCTCTTTGAAGAAACACTTCCGGAAGATAAAAAAAAAAAAAAAAACACATCGATGACGCGATTCGTGCAATTAACAGATCATATTACACACACGCACGCACGCACACTCGTCCGGCATAAAGTAGCAGGATTGATGATCGCAATTACGATTTATCGTTTCACGGCAGGTGACGCACGACAATATGCGCGCAGTTTCGGTCTCAAATGAGACGTCAAGGCTCCGTTCCGGATTTGCCGTCGATCTCCGGCGCCGAATCGTCACCCTTTGTAGAGGGGTGCGAATGAGATCTCGCTGCGACACATATACGTATATATACACATTTATCACAACTCTCTCTCTCTCTTCCCCTATCCTACTGGAACGGGACGATCGTGCCGGCGCATTTAGTGCCGAGGATTCTCTTCCGGTGTGTCGCGTCGGATACGTCAAATAGGAAGCGAACGAATAAAGTTTCTCGATCCTCCTCAGCAGCTCGACGAGGAGGATCGTCGGCACCGAAAAATTCTGTCGAGTAATGCAAGAATTATTATCCAACCCGGCGGACCGTCAGGACGAAGGGAGAAAGAACCAGGGGAGGGAAGGGAGTCGGGGGTGCGGAAGAAAATGGTCGTTAAGCGTGCGCGCGAAATATGAGAAATGATCTGTCGACGTTCCCGTGGCCGTGGAAAAAGCCGAACGCGAGCTTCAAAGAAGCCGTAGAATTGAAAAAGCCGAAGGGCTGCGCCATTAGATGCATCGTGATAGAGCGAATTCCCCGTGCGTACCGGGGGGGAGGAGGGTTTGGTTCGGGAGAAAAAATCCATTCCGAGACGATGTAGAATACCGAGAAAAGTCTCGAGGGTTCGTTGCTCACTTCGTAAAACACCCAATAGTTTATTAGCAATTGCAACGTATTTCTTTCGATGAACTTCGGACTGCGTTCCAACACAAAGCGATTCGAGTAACTGTGCGTAGATTTGTCGAAGTAGATTTGTTTTTGATTAATTTTTTCTCCAAAACAGATTCAGAAAATTACGACAAAATTGTGATCTAATATCCGAGTCGATAGTTAAATGTTTTCTCGAAATTAGAGAGAAAGTTTCTCTTCGTTTATTTGTCGAGAGACTCGCAGTCTGTCAAGAAATAATCTCACAACTCTTCGACATTTGGGAGCGAACTTTTGTCGCGAAAATATAAAAGGCTCAACACAGAAATTACGTTCTGCAAATATAGCGGAGAGAGAGAGAGGTCGGAGAAAGAGGGCGATAATATAAAAGATCTTACAAAAAAAAAAACCTTATTTCGCTGCACCGGTTAAAAATTACGCGTGTACCAATTACGCGTAACACTTCGCGCGCGCGGCGCTGGAAGTAATTTCACCTCGTAATTCCGTCGGGCTTTTAAATAGGCTTTACGTCGAATCGGGGGAGAAGAAGGGGCTGTTCCGACTTCCCTCAAATTATAGGCGGCCATTATCGCGCGGTCGGCTTCGCATTTGGGCCAGACAATGGCCGCCGCCACTCGTTAATGTAATAGGCATCCGAAAGGTGCGATCCTTTTCTCTCTTTCTCTCCCTCTTCCCTTCGTGGCACCCAGCTACTTCAACACTGGGAGCCGCGTGCAGGACGAAAATCCTCTCCCAACGACGGCCAACCTGTCCGTCGTTTCGTCGTTCGGGCGGACCCCTGCCCGGGCTTCCAGACAGCCCCCGAAGAGGAATTATTATTTTATGAGATTATTATCTCTAATAACACATCGCTCTCTCGGTCGCGGGAAAGAAGAAGGGGTGCGCGCTTTTGTGTCCGACGGAAATGTTCACACGTAGAAGTAGCTCTCGCTCGAACCGCTCGATAATATCGACGTTTTGTCGAAAGTTCAGGTAGAAATTCTAAAAGTCCGTTTTTTACCTGTGTGACGCGTTTCTTGCTTACGAATTGTCCAACATTCTTGCGGCTGGTAATTGCTGTTAATCGAAACACTCCCCTCCCCTCCAAACAGCACGCATGAGAGACGTTCGCAGAGTGTATGTTTTGTTTTTCTTTAGCTCTCATTTATACTAATCGCGCATTAATCCTTTACTAAAATAACATTGTTTTTCACAAAATACGCGCAATTATTTTACACAGAAAACAATATTTGCGGATAGAGGTCCGTGGTTTTTTAACGTTTCAGAACTTGTTTCACACAATTCTCGAAAGAGAAATAAACGCGTTTTCGACAAAAGGTTTTCGGATGATGTAACAAATGTTTCTCATCTGTTGAAAACACGCGGAAGCGCAAATGATGGTTATTTGGTTGCGCGTTCTATAGGAACCGTGAAAAATGTGTGAAGCAGCCCTGTCCTGTGCGCGGCTCATGTGTTGTTGCTTCACGCATACGCGAGGGATGAAACGTGGTCGCGCGATTGGCCGAAGGGCGGGAACGTATGTGCGGGTTGTTCGCACTAGCAGGTGTATCTCTTCAACAGCACCCCTTTGTACCTCAATTAGTTAAGCTTTTTCCTCTCTCTCTCTCTCTCTCCGCTCACCCGAAAAAATTTACCTGTCCGTCGCTAGCTGCCGGTTTTCGAGCGCTTCGAAAATAGTTCTGCCGAGTCATATGTTTATTCGATATACAGAGAGAAATGTGAAATTTATTTTTTCTCACAACTCTCGCCGGACGAATAATAAAACAGCGGTGAATATGATTAATCTCTCGCTAGATGCCACTAATTACTTTGATAGCGCAGGCGAGACGCTGAAGAGAAGTAAAGTAAAAGTACGACACTTTTGTCACGTGTGGTGTGGTTTTGCAACACGTATTTAAATAATTTATGCTATGCGTTTTTAACTTAACACACCTAGAGCATAACGTGTGTGTTTAAAAATAACATAACAGTTAAACGGTGAAAACAATTCTTCTCGAACAGAATGTTTTAGCGTCCGAACGATAAAATAAGTAACAACTTGCTAGACGTCGTTATAATTATACACGTTTAACAATACATAAAAATCATCGACTGCAACATTATTCACAAGTAAGTAGTTTATAAATAGTGCGGCATTAATATGCGCAATGATCGTTCGCCTCGGTGATTCAAGTACGGTGAAGTTGTACGAACGGCCTTACTTAATTCACGCGCGCGTATATAAACACGCATACATACACACGCGATTGCGTTAATTGTTAGCAGAGCGAAAACTACGTCAAGGTGTGCGAAAGTGTTAATTCTATAGCGGCTACTTTGGCCGGATGAAAATTACGAGGATTGAAGAATGCTTATAAGGAAACCTGTTACTAACAGTTGTCGATGACGTGTCAGAAAACGGAGTTGCACAATAGGGCGGATGAGAAACATTCCTGCGAATAATGTTGCGCTATGCAATCAGGCGACTAATTAAATATTCTCTCGAGCGATATATTCTCCCTGCGTGAATCTCTTGCGAGTACACGCGAACTTGTTTACTCACTTGTGTGTTTCACGTCACCTGTCCCGAGAGAGCACGAGACTTCTTTTCGCACGAAAACTCCTCGTCTAGTCGTCGAAAACGCGTCTTTCCGTCTTCAAAGACGGTCCGATCGTCTGCGCGCGCGCGATCGCGACTTCGGTTTATTTATACATTTATCGATCGATTGACTCGTCGAGCGTTTCAATTCAAAGCAAAAAGTGTGTGCTGTACGTACGTTTCTCTGTACGTTTCTTTACAGGCGAGTACATTCTCAGTTCCGGAAGTCAGAACGGAAGTCAAAGTAGCATCGTCGACAAGGACGATCCGCTTCTCAACGAAGCTTCGTTGGCTTTGGACAACGATCCCTTGGCTGACTTAACGAATGATTCTCTCGGATTAAACGACACTCTAGGACTCGAGCATGACTTTACTTCAGAATTACTCGGTGGTGGTCTCTTGGAAAGCGGCGTAGAGGGTCTTCTTAGCAACGATACTTTGGGCTTGCCCGACGAATTCAATCTCGAGGAGGCGCTTCAGCTCGTTGGCCTCGATGAGGCTCAACCAGAGGTTTGTAGAATAAAATTCTTCTGCTCGAAAGCGCGCGATTTAAAATTGCGCACGAGAAAAAGAAAGCGCATTAATATTCGCGATTAATCTTCGAACTCGGTTCCTTGTTAAATTTTTTATTTTTTACTTTCATTCTCGCGACGATTATCTCTCTGCCGCGATAATATTGCGATTAGTCGAAATTTCTTCTTCAAAAATTAGTAGAAATCATCTCAAAATTTTCAAAAATTTCAAATCCATAATGTATTCGCGTAAAATATAAATATATATATGAAAGGATCTCATATTTTTTCCTCTTTCATTGTTTATATCTTACAACTTCGATTTTTTTATATAGTAAAAATTTCCGACAATCTCTTCTTCGTTAAATCTCTGGTAGTTTTCTTTATAAAATTATAATTGCGACCTTTTGTTGTAGGGGCACAAAATATAAACTTATTGGAATATTTTGTGTTCCGCGATCCCGTCCTTGGCGAAGCCATGGCGCGCATCGAGAGGTTATTATATAAAAGATTGATCATTAGGAAACGAAGCCGGAAGTGAAGAAGGAGAAGGAAGAGGACACAGTCGAGGATTCCGCGAGAGCAGAGGACGACGCGGGCATCACCGCCTCGAGTAACACCGAGGTCGCGAAGTCATCCAAGTGCGAGGATCCCGAGACCGGCGACATGATTCACACACCGCAGTTTCATCATCCACATCATCCGCACCACCGCTCCTTCCAGGTACGTACGAGTACCTGATTTCATTGGCCTGGTGTAGGTCAGAATGCGCCAGTGCCTCTCATTACCGCGTACGCACAGTGTCATCGCGACCAATGTAACGACTTATGTGCGCAAAGAGCACACACAGACTTTCCATTAAGCACACACATGTCGCTTGAATAAAATCAACGAAAGTCTATCTCGAGCCGTTCGATGTGAGAACTTTTCGAACGGAGTCTCGGAGATATGTCGAGTGATCTTTATGATATTCTGATATTGGACATTCTCGTCCGAAGTTTTAATTACATATTTTTAATTGTTTCCCAAACAATTTCATTTGAGACGAGAGATCGGATTGAGAGAAAATTGCTCGAGTTGCGGTAATGTAAACTTAAACTGAAATTTTGTTCAATGTTTTTTCTCGTCGACGTCACGTACAACTGTTTTGAGAGACGCTGTGAAACATACATACGCGATTGTAGTCGGCGATTGTAATTTGCGATTTTTCGACATTACGTTAATGAGAGGTTCGGAATGGCGCGATGATACCGCGATGGGTGACGGTGATATACGGAGTAGGAAACAAACGTCAAAAGAGAGATAAGAACGACGCGCAAACCCGCGCGGTCGGAGCGGCGTTTACGGTCCATAAACAGGACACTCTTTATTGCACCGTCGACCGCGGAAACGCCAATGCACCTCCATATCGCTATGGCGCACCTCGCGCCTTCCCTTCTCCTCTCCCGTTTTCCCTTCCTTCTTATAGAGACTCCACAATTACGCGTCATAAACGCACTTGAATGTAACGAGGTGATTGAACGTATAAAAAAATGGATCGCGTTCTCGCTACATGCGCGCGTGAAATTTATTTCATTTTTTTTTATCATTTTCCTCGCTTATTGTAATAACAAAATATATATATAAAGTTGCGCTAAGGGACTAAAAAACAAATGCGCAAAAAAAAAACACGTTTCGAGGAAAATGCCCGCAAAGATTTTTCCGCAAAGTGCGAAGTCATGCTTTTTAGTTTGATAAATAATTAAGTAGGGAACTTTAACATCAGAATTCCTTAAGTACTCTATATCTTAGAGCTACATGTTTACAAAATTAATTACACGTTATGCGTCGCTCGTATGCAATTTATATTGTTATATATTTTTTAAATATGTATATCTCGCACATACATTTTGCAACGCAAAAAGTCGCGTTATTATGCCGTATACCGGCACTCGCACGAGTTTTATTATCGAGCAAGTTGAATGCGACATTCGCAAACGGATTATTATTATTATTAACTATCCGTTGCTTCTCAAAATAATGCGGTTTTACGAAGTTCACAAAACGCCGGCTTGATTGTAATTACCACTTTCCTGTTTGTTTTGTGCTTGCGCAGCTTTATTACGTACCGCGGCACAACATCGGTTGTTCTCGTGACGACTTTCGACAAACACCAGTTGGGGGAAAAACGCAACAACAGCAACATTAATTTTCTTAACGTTGAAAACCATACTAACTTTCGATAACTGCTGCCGAATGACTTTGAAATGCTTTTTTCTTTCTTTTTTTTTTTTTGTTTTAGCAACGACAGCAATTATATTACGCCGTATCGTGTTTTCAGATAGAAGTTAATTTTTACGCGATAGAGAGGTAACAGTTGTGATCATAATTATCCGTTTTTTTTTTAACGCTTTTAAACTTTCATATTGTTTTCATAGTTTTGAAAAGAGTTTGCTTGCCAGGATGTTATTTTTTTTTTTTCAGCTCTTTAATTACTCAGAGTCATTACTCAGCACGTATGTTTAGGACTGACGGGGGGGGAGAGGGGCCTCTCGCTCATTATTGCTTTATAGCATTAAAGGATTTTATAGCGCGCGCGCGCGGCGATACAGGTTCTAAACCCCGAATAGATCTTGTCTGCGTTAGAAAGCATGCATGCATTCGGTTTGCTTCTCACCGAGTGATGTTTGTTTCGTTCGAGAGAGAGACGCGTGTTTTATATAAATTGTAAATCAAATTTTATCAGACAGTAGCTACGGGGAGACGATATCGCGAGAGCGGGAAATGCGAGTCCCATTCATTTTATATGGCTGCTGTGTTTGAAGATGTCTCCAGACGTGTGCGTGCGTGATGATAGTAAACCCGGTAACTGCGCGAACGGATGAAGGCCTTGATGTCTCAACTAGCGAGGACAATTTGATTTTTTTTTTTTTTTTTTCGGATAGTAAGAGTCGATCGCAAAATTCGAAAACGTCGATAAGCGGAAAATATCGAGACGTATACATCAACACGGTATAATTTCGAAGATATGTAAAATTTCACGCGTGTTTGTTGTGTGTTTCGAGCTTTACATTGATAGCAGAAGTGTAACGAGCGAGATATTGTGAAAGTATTATCTGGTTTTCGCGCGAATATTTTACAGCGATTATTTTCAACGTACATTTCGCGATCATTAATTATTATGTCGCGCATTGTAAGATTATATCTATGTAGAATCCTCTCATTATTTGAAATTTAGTTGTTCAAACGGAAGGAATTGTTTATCAAAATACAACAAGTTTTTACTTAATTAAATGCAGAAACTTCTCCACACGCGCGTTAAAAAATATTTTGTCGGCGGTACAAAGTCTGCCATTAGAGCGCGTTATCTTTTCTCTCTTGTCGACGAGGGGGAGGGGGGAGGGGAAGCGGACTTACTCTCTACTCTCCAGTATCATAGTTTTTGATCGTTGTATTTTGTTTTGCTGTTCACAAATTCGACCGATCGATAAATACAGTTAACACTTTGAATAAGAGAAAAACGGAAAACATATGTCTGTGTAAGACGGTCGTACAAGCGATATACAATACCGGATTGTGATAATTCTCTTAGTCAACGTTCGAAAATGCGACATCTAAAATATCTACGATATAATTTTCAGTTTCTGCGTATGATTTCAATTCGTTATTAATTCCGTGACGATAATACGCGACAATCGGTGTGTGCGTACACAGGTATTACATCGGACAATTATGCGGCAATTTTTAAACACTTTGCCACCGCTATTATATAAACATTAGATACGTACAATATGTAAGGATATCGCGTGACGTGATAATTGGTGTCTTTTTGTATCAACTGTGAACGCATGTACGTAACAAAAAACTAGCTCACCTTCATTGTTCTTTCTGAAAATCTTTGTTTAATAAGACAGCCGCGAATACACGTGCGCGCGCGCGCGCGCGCGTGTGTGTGTGTGTTCAAATATTGTAATACATATATTTTATTGTCATACAACAGCATATAATTTATATGCGCGTTTAATGTCGCGAGAGTTAAGTTGCGCGCTTTGCAGAGGTCCCCCTCTTGAAATCTGTGCATCAGCGAGTCAATGTAATGCTCGTAAAGTAACAACTTCGCACGGATAAAAGCCGAGTGAATTCGAAAGCGCACTAACCTCCCTAGAAAGCGGACGTTTCCCGGACGTGAATTCCGACGACGTTGTGTGTTGGGGGCGAGGGGGCGCGTTGCCGTGTCCCCGTCTCGTGATATCACCCGTCGTCACGGGAGTGGACGATCGCGACAATGACCTACCCAGATAGCGCGCACGGTTTAGGTCCGTCCAGCGAAATATATGTGTGATGCAACATACGCGTGCATATATTCGCGTTGTGCACAGGACTTTGCGTACACACGTGGAGGAAGACGTCGACGAAAAGCCCCCACCAATGACGGAGTTGGCGCGAGACCCCTACCATAAACGCGCGGTAGACGCCGATCTCGCGATGTTTGCGAGAGATCCTGGCCGTCGACATTCGCGGACGACACGCGGCTCGCAGTGAACGCGAATAACCCGCGGAAAAGTGTCTGTTCCAACGTCGCGACAGCAATTTCCTTTTTCCCGTTTCGCAGATCGACGCCGCGAGATAAAGCGCCGGTTTCCGGAAGGTATTTCTCTTGAGAGCTGCCTCTTGCGAGTGCGCGCGATCTTGCCGATAGTGCGCGATCAGTTCGATCTGTTCTTGCGACTGAGAGAGAAGAAGCGGTTTCTCTATACCACAGAGAAGAAGTAGGCACTGGAACCACGCCTCTCTGAAGATACGCACACCATCGAGTTTCCCGCCCAGATATCCCGTTGAACGAAGACGCTCGATTGTCATTGAAGAAGAAAAAAAAAAAGAAAAAAAAAACTGGTTGAAAATGAGGACGTTAGACTTCCGCGAGTAATACGTTCTGGCCTTGTACGTTTCTGGCGAAACAGCGAGCACGAGGAGTTCGCGATTTGCATAGAGTTTCCATGTGTCGCGCAGTTTGTATAGAAGTTCGCGTATCGCGCGATTTACAATAGAGAGCTACCGGAGATTTATGGATTTCGAAGATCAGACTTTGGCGCGCGCGTTACGTGAGCACCTTGTTTATTCTCTACGATGCGTAGTAGTACGAGAGTTTCGATATTAAACTTTTATCGAACGCAAACGCGCAAGAATGACCGGATATTCGTCTAGTATAATATAATAATGACTATCTAGAAGAAACGCATTGCGTTCATTTGTGCGAGGTTTTTTCGAAGCGATTCGAACGGAAGGAACCCGAGAAACCCTTCTCACGTCACTCCACACACGGGACCGCCCACGTTGAATACACAAATTCTCGCTCCTCCGTGCTCCTCCAAGGCGATATTTTGAATATCGCAGAATCGCGCCAGTGGGCTGAGATTATTATTATTCGTCTTCTCTCTGTGGCGAAGATAATATCTTACAACAATACACACAGTGTTGCACGCGTAGCGTAATACAAACGTTAGTAATTGACTGAAGTAAAGTCAAGATTCGCGAACTCGCGGACGTGCAATTTTTTTTTTTCGTCGGAAGATGCAAATTTTGTTCTAAAACAGCTGTTTCCGAAGTATATTTGATTACAATTCGACGACGATCTGTGCGCGTCTGTCTCTTTCTTTCGTGTTTCGATTTGAGATTTTTTTTTGTTTTTTTTTTTAATTTTTATTTTCGAGTGAAGAAGAGACACATGAACGACGTGCAAGCCT